TTTTACACTGAATATCAATATCAATGTAATTGAAGTATAAATAATAAACAAGTAAAACAAAGAAAACAATTATGCTAATATACGCAAAAATGCACAAATAGGATGTCCCAGGGGCTAATAACTTTCATAAAATTTCTAAAATATTCGCGGCATTTGTCGCAAATCAAAATATTTGAAAAATAAATATTTTTTTTTCATTGGTATCGTATTTAACTTATTTAGGACGCCTTAGGGTGTTTAAATCCCACCTTCAAAAACGAGCGTTTTTCAAAGTTATCATGACAACATCAAGGATCCTAACAACAAAGTATGAATGTCAACGGTTTAGTAATGATTAGTTATGGATTTGACAGGGGTACCATCTGTAACGTCAAATAAATAAATATCACTAGCAAATGTTTCAAATTAATTATTTTCTTCTCATTTCCATGACGAGGAAAGCTATTTTACATTATTTGCTGTTTTTTCAACTCTTGAAGCGCACGAAAGGGAGATAATACTAGTATTTCATGATATTAAAGTGTACCAACATAAAAAAATATTGCTCTATCGAAAAATCGTTCTTGTTGTAAAGACCTTATACTATAATAGTAATCACACATGTTCGACGTATTTGAAAACTGCACCAAGATATTGAAAATATTTGAAGCACTAAACAAATAATTAGAATACCTAATTAACCAGGAATCAAATTGGAATGCCTAATTAACCAAGAATTGAAATAACAAAAAAGTTATCAGAAATACTGAAAAAACTGATATTTGAATATATGAACCCATATTTCTATGTATGACCATTTTCATTTAGATGACAATCTTATAACCAATAAATAGGTACCGTAAAACGGGGATTTATGAACTAGTTATTCATTATACAAGGGAAAAAAGTAGTAGATTTTAGCTCCAGGTTGTGTTGTCTCCCTACAGCTGGGAACTATGAACTGTTACCTACAATTCCATGATGATTTTGATTTCTGTCACCAATAATGCAAACACGAAATTCTAGCGGGGAAATTAAAGAAAAAATACAAATATTTCATATAAGCCCGGCAATTTCATAAATCACCGTCAATTTCATAAATCACCGTTTTACTGTATCTATAATTACAATGCCTTTGATTTCAGGTATATTCAACGAATAAATACGTTCCTAAAAACAATGCATTCAACATGTAATTGAATTTTCACATTTCAATAGAAGATCTACCCTCTATATACCCCAATTTCCACAGCAAGTAAGATGTACACAAAATAAACAAATTTTGGTCTTTTGAAAACATTAATAAAGACATCGATATTAGAAATTAGAATCCATAAAGTTGCTGTTGCAGATTCTTCAGTAAAGTACCTATGTGCTAGGTGTATACATTTGCAACAGAATTTTTTTTAGTCTCAGTTTCGTAGAAAATTCCCATTCTCTTTGATCTATTCAAATTTTGCAATAGACATGCATATGACAACTGACTATCCCTCAACGTGTGACTATCCATTTTTCATGACCAGCAGCAAAATATTGAACGGTAAAGAATTTAATGATGTCTAATACCAAAATACTAATATTTAAGGTATGTTCATGCATGTAGGAATTCCGCAAAATTTATGCAAATAAAATGGCGACTAGGCGACTGCGAATATCCCAATGAAATTGAAATATTTGAACTTTTTTACGAATTTGGATAGAATCATAACCACGCAGTATGCATAAAATGTTTCGTTATTTTGATATCAAAGTTGAGGAATTGGGGACGAATTAATTTTGAATGTATCATTGGTATCGTCTCTATAGAGCTGATGATGTATCCAGACGCAAAAAGAAGCTGTAGTGTTTGAAGAATTTTTAAATGCCAAAAAAATTTGGGATATTACAGCCTTGTTCGATAAATACAACTTAATGACTCTATTAAATATTTCAATTCCTTTCGTGTAACGTTGCTTTTAATTTGATGAACTTGTATCAATGGTAATGAAGAAAGTATATATCACAACAGAACCCTTATCACCTGCAAATTTTGTGGCATGAGTATGAACGAAGAATTCTGTTGGGAATTTCATATTTTGTGATTGGCACAAATTTTGCGAAATTCGTACAAGCATGAACATACCTTTATGTGGGAATTAATAACCTTTCATCAGAAATATTCTAATCTTGAAGGGAATAATCTTCCTATATTGTAGCAAACATAGAAACAACGAAAATAAACTTACTATATAGTTGATGACATTAATCAATACAACATAGGTTCAAATGAGAAAAGGGTCGATTCTAGAGACATGCAGGGCGTACTAGAGATGCCTGAAACAGAGAAACACACATGCTACATACAATGAACTTGCCAAATATAGCAATTTGGATGATTTTATTCCAAAGAGGCGACACCAACAATAGCAAGAACAAAACATAATTTGATGAATACAGTTCACTACTACTAATAATAATAATAATACCTAAAAGTAATTTATTGAACCAAAAAATGTATTCCAAAGGATTATTGACGGAGATTCATCTACCAATGGCTTCAAGAACTGATATTGCTTATATACAGGGTGTCCGCTAAAAGGAGGTCAATCCATTAACCATATATTCCTTGAACAAAAACAATATGAGTTTCTGAATACCATTTTTCATTTTACCCCTTTATATTCGATATACAGTGTCAAAGTTGGAAATGAAAAAAATTTTTTTTTATTACTCGCGTATTTAATGAGATATCAATCTCAAAATTGGTACAATACTTCAGCACAAAGAGTTACATCGTGTGAGGAAAACAAAACAGAAAATAACTGTCAAATATTTAAAATACTGGGCGTCAAGTACACACATACCCCCATATTTTTTTTTGTACGTGCGCTAATGACTTCCTATCTTTTTTTCTTCAAGTGTTCAATCATTTTTGAGTATTTTTTGTCTCTCGTAAAATTTCGATAAAATTATTTGTTTTCAAGATAATTCGAAAAGTACTGGTTATTGTTGGATGCCTATGCGGCTTACGGTGATCTCATAATGTTCACATACTCCTATTCATTTCGTAGAAATTGGAAGAGGACATAATTTTTTACGTATGAAAAGGTAAATATGGATACACCGGGTGCTCAGAGCGAATGTATTAAAATAATTTTTACAAAAAAAAATTGATAGAAATTCAACACGTTTAAATGAATTGCTCGATATGACCTCTAAGTTTTTGAATACACATGCGAGCCCTTTGAAAAATATGTGGCTTATACACAAAATTTTTCATACATCCCCAGACAATCCTGATCTGCTATTTCTTTCATCAAGTAACTATTGAAATCATGGATATCATAATTTCACCTAAAATTTCCCAAGATATATTTTAAAATTTTTTCCGATTTTATTTTCCGTTCGTTCGCGCCGAAACTAATTTTGTTTTTGTTCAAGGAATATATGGTCAATGGATTGACCTCCTTTTAGCGGACACCCTGTATTTTGTGTGGATTTCACAAATAAAACCATTATACAGAAAAAAAAGTAGATATTATAAGGTATCTACTGAAACAAATATAAAAAATATAAAATTTTCTAGAAAAAGTATACTTTCTTCTTGCTTCTGCAACGAATGATTTCTCAGAGCCCTCAAATATCGGAGACTTTGGCTCAATAATTAAATCGAATAATTTCTTGGCAGCTGAACAAAAAATGAATACTGTAAGTATATATTTCATGTTTTGCTTATCAGTGTTCTTACCTATTCAAACAATGAAACTAGGTGAACAAAATTATTTTTTTTCGATTTACTTATCTCTGCTTCCCTGCATCTGAAAAGTGATAATGAGAACAACAAAACTCACAAGATATTATTATCCGAGACTCCTTAGATCATTGAAGAGGAGTTGAGAAGACATTGAGTGAATATTATTCTAAAACTGGTTTCAGTGTAAGTGAGAAAAAATATTATTGTTCAGTAGGTTTCAATCATGATTTGTAACATTTTATATAACTTCATATATACTTGTGAAGTTGCAAGGCAACAGTTCATCTCTGGGTTCATCTAAATCTAATAGTCATTCCAAGATTCACAAAAATAATTTGGCACAATGTAACAAACTATTACTTTCAATCATTCATGTACCAAGAACCAAATGAAAAACTGTCTATCATAGTTGACTAGCAAATTGATAGCTGACTAGCAAGCAGGCGAGAGACAATAGACAGTTTTTCACCAAGGTGCATTAATTTCTTCATCAACCTCTACAAGAAATTACTACTCATCAACCATTTTTGAAGGCAAGTATTTTCCATTCGGAATTTAGTATGTAAAATGTCATTTTTTGTAGTAGACGACGAAAAACACATTTCTAACTAGGATATTATAGTTTGGATTTCAAATTCAGCTTATAGTGGGCAGCAAAAACATGCAAAATAACTCAAATCAGGCATTCATAATCTATTTCAAACACAATGATCAATCATTTCATTGAGAGTTAAAAGTAAATAACAAAATGCTAGGACCAAAGAAGTTGATCCCATTATATCATTGGCTATTATAAGGAATTATTGGTCATACAAAACTGGGAAATAATACTAATAATGGATGTAAAAATACCCTGCTATTGTAGGTTTGTTTCAGAGTGTTACAAGATGAAACTACTAATATCAAGCCACAGCAGAAATGTTGAAATCCTTTTCTCCACATAGCATAATTTATATTTGCTGTTGAAAAGTATAATACTTCAAATATTGCTGAGTGAAGTATTAAATATTGCTGTATTAAAATTCCATCAGTTACATTTATTCAATGTTTTCACAGCTTTAATATTGTTTTATTATTACACCTTCATTGGTCTGCACATTAGTTGAAAATAAAAATAATAAGAATTGAAGAATAACTAAATCAACTTCAGTCCATATTCAGCTAATGCATGGCTGCATGCAACAATCTTTGCAAACATGGTTTGAAAAACATTCTTAATTGACAGCAAACCTTAGTGTTTGCAATATCTTTCAAATTGTCTTCAAAATGTGATCAATGCCTAGTTGAATTAAACAATTGTTTCAACATCACTTATAACCTGGATGCCATGTTTGGTGAAAATAAATTTAATGAGATTCTCATCACAGCTTTTACATTCTTTCAAGTTGTTACTTGTACTGTGTTTCAAATCATTTTTCATGACCTCTTCAAAATTCGAATAGCTTCTTGAAGATTTCAAAACATTATCATCTTCCTTACATACCTCCTTTCCAGTAGCCTCACTCCTTATGATTTTGTGATCACCAGAACTTTCAGTGATGATTTTCACTGCTTGCCCAGGCTGTTTCATGGTATTGATCAGATTAGTTCTTGTGAAGTCATCAACATCAGTGTCAATGTGTTTTGAAAATAGATTGTTGTTACAAATGTACATGCAACTAGTGGGACTAGGAGACTCTATTGTTATATCAGAAGTGGAGGGTGTTAAATAATACTTGTTATTTGAAGGTACCAAGTACTTACTGTTATCCCAAAGTAGGCATAAAATTAAGTGATAAGAATTTCAATATCAAGATTTGTTTCAATAAGTCTTACATGTTTGCTGATCCATATAGGTGATATTTTTTGATGTAATTAATTACATTATCAGGAAGTAAGTAGCGAACAGAATCTGACCTCCTTAGAGCTCTTCTAATTTTTGTTGAACTGATTTCATTCCTAATCCATTCAGTTATTATAACTATATTGGCCTGAAAAAGTCAATTCTCATTGGAAACATAATGGAGAAAATATGTATTCTTACCATATATTTTGTAAGCATATCTGAATTATAAATAAATTCTAAAGGATTTGATTTGGACCTGGTAATAACTACCAAGCCATGTTGTCCAACAATGTCTTGAATCTATAAAATAGTAATTCTTTGATATTCATGGATTTTTTACTTTGCTCAATTCTTACTTCAGTATCTGACCATAATCCTGGAACTGCAAATGATTCTAACAGGTCAGCACCACATAGCAGTTTCACCTGCACATGTCCAATATCACCATTTATAATATTATCTGGAATCCACTTTGCATTATTTTCATTGAGATCATAGCAATTGTTTTGGTTTGTATTAAGTAAAGCATTTAGTTGATTCTGGAAAACATGACCAATCATCAAGTATACCAAATACTCTAATTTCCAAAAATGTCTTACTTGATGATGTTGTAAAACTAGCTTAGTTCTACTCCAACTCTCTTGTTTGCACTCCCAATCTGATAATTTAACCCAATCATGATCCTGTAGAGCTAATTTAATCATTGCCAATCTATGAGTAGAAGACTCCAGTTCTTTTTTACCATATGCATCATGAACTGGTGATAATACACCTCCTACTACCAGGTGATTACCCATTCTATGAAGGTGATCTCTTGCAATCTCTGAAAAATTTGTGATTTATCTCTGAGAAAACAAAAATTTTTATCAATTGATTATTACACCACAGCATGAAAATTCGGAATTTGTCTATCAAAATGAAACAAATTATAAGGATGGACTAGAACCATTTCAGAATAGATATTACATTGTCCAGCAGATCTAGGATCTACCAGATATATTCTGGAACTCCTTCTGGATCAAGTCTGATTTTTTGGAGGAATTTATTTAAGATTACATCCAAATAATTACCAAACATTCTCAGATGCATATTTGTTGGAGGATTGAATGAACCACATGCCAGTAATATAACATTTGTAGGGGACATTGTAGAATTATATTGCACAATTGAAGATTATCACGCAAATGCTACTTGCAGACAATCAATGATCTGATGTATTGTTAGATTTTTGACTTTCTGATTTCAGTGATTTCAATGCATCTTTTGCACTATTTTGAGTATTTTGCAGTGGAATAAAATAATGACATGACATAATCATAAATCATAATATTGATATGACATGACATAATTTTAAAATCTTCTTCTTCTCTTTTTTTGGTTAAAATGGTCATAGCTTATTCTAGCTTTAGGCTATCTGGTCAATGTCAATGGTCAATAATAATAATAGAATCGGTCAGAATCTGGATAAGCACGTTGAGGTTGAAACCGTTGAAAGCATGATGAAAATTACATACGGAAGAAGTCGGATGGTAGTAAAATGGTTAAAGATTAGTTTGGCCAGATAGCCCAGGTAGCTAAGGCCATACAAATCGAAAGAAAGAAGAAGAAGTTAAAGATTGGTTATTAAATCTGTTTTCTGAAATGTCAAAATAGGTTGAAGATGGGAAAGGATAATATACTCACGAATATACTGTGTATTTCAATCATTTCATATCGATAAACAAGTTGAGAAATAGACAGGGAGTCCCTTTTTTATGATTATGTATTATTCAGATACAGGTTCAAGAAATAAGCAAAGGTAGAATCGGAAACAAACGTCTAATATAATACAGCAAGATGGACAGAAATAAAACTGGTACAGGAATGAGGGGTCCTAAAGCAAAGATAACACAGCAATTGCCAGATTCCTTCATCGCTTTGGGAGCAAAACAGTCAGCTCCAAGAGATGATTCTAAAAGAACTGTTCCATTGCCAAAATCATCAGTGTCATCTCACATATCATCTAGTTCTGGAAAAGGTAATTCTCAAATCCCTTCCAATTTTCTTGGTTTAATAAATCATATTTTCCAGCCCCAGCTGATAAATTGAAAAGGGACTCTTCATCTTCAGGGTTAACTCCTGTAAATCCTTCTAAAAAATTGAAAGTCAACATGCCTGGTTCCAGACCTGGATTGTCAGCTGTGGCTTCTGGATCAGGACTCTTGCCAATAGATCGTATGGTAACTGGACAATCAGGTGTGGAACCATGGGAGTCTCTTGCAGTAGAATGTGATGTGGGGGATATATTTGAGAGTATAATCAATCTGATATCCATTGATAATACTGATAAAGCAGTAAGCAATAGGAAAATTACAGGGTTTGGTATTTGTGTTTATTTGATTCAATTATTTCAGGTTGGATACATACTGGGTCTTATTAAGAACCTTAAAAATCTGAGATCAAAGCCTTGTAAAGTGGCAAATGCTGTCTTATTTCTTGTTGCTACTTGTAAACCTTCTATGTACACCAATGATTACATAGTTAATGCTATGTTAAGTGTTTTGAGAAGAGATGTTAATGCAGGTTTGAAAGCTATTGGTAAAAGCAACCCACAAGTGCACCAATTATTTTTGAATTTGCTGGCATATGCCTATTCTGACATCAATAATTGGCCAGAGATGTTTGTTAAGGTTTGTAAAGATTGTTCTCTTATTTTATTTTTGAGGACTTTGAGGTTTACAGTGATGTGAAAGCACTGAAAGCAACATCCCAATGAAAATCAGCATCAGTAAAAAACTTTTTGTACTGAACAATTTACAGCCCTGAATGATGGAATATGAACAACTATTTGAAATGGATGTTGAGAATACAAAACACTGGTTGTCTGAATTTGTAGCATCTGATTCACCAGAGATCTCATTTCTTTTGAATTTTGAATGAAAATTACAAATTGCCAGGAAAATAATTTCCTCAATTTTTTTTCAAAATCGCCAGATTTTTCAACATTAGCCTTACCCCTTCACATATCCAATAAATATTGGAATGATTGAAAATTCATACATTAGGTATTGCACATGAGTGCATTCAAAGGTTAATTATTCAGAACTTTCTCAATCAAAATTAATGTAAAATACTTCAAAAATAGTGAAAAAACCATATTCAAATAATTTTCTGGAGTGTTTCAAAAGTAATATTATCATTTCTGCTTCATTTTTCATATTCTAAAGAGTCAAATCAACCCCATTATCAAGAATAATAAACCCTTTATAATATTCCATAAAATTAGATTTGATGTTTGAAGGGGGTATGAATGATGACTTTTACTACAAAATGTTTTGTAGAAATACCAAGAGAAATACTCATCCATTCATGTTCAATGTGTGAGTAAGAAAAATAATCTTTGTCTCTTGCACTGAGCTTATGAGTGTGTATCTTGCATAGAAATGGGATAATAGATCTATGGTATTCTGCCAATCTCTTCATAGTAGTTAGGCATACCCACATCAAACCTGATGATGTTGATATGTGCTATATCAAAACTAAAATTTTCAGCACAATGATCTCATTACACTGTTTTACCATGCACCAAACTGATTTTGTGAAGCATCTCATTGCCGACATGTTTTTCTAACTGCAAAATCTGCTCATACCCTAGCTAGATGTTTTTGTCTGTTCTTATTTCAGATGGAACACCCTGTGAATCATTGCATTTTCTGAATCAATTTTTTATATATAGGGTCCTATAAAGCCATTCTCTAGCAATAATTAATTTTGGTAATTTTTTCCAACAACTGATCAACAAAGTAACCTTTGGTGCTTTCCATGAAATGTTATTATTTGACAGCATTTAGGCTACTGAGCAGAAACAATGAAAAACCCTTGAATGTCTTCCACAGGAACCTATATCTTTGTCATATAGAAATGTCATTGAACTATCAAAAACCACTAACTGATGTAGCAGAAAATGCAAATTTTGTTACTTTGAATCTCTTTTCTCCGACTGGAGGATTGAAGAAATACATAAATAATAAGGCATTTATAAATTGAAGACCACAAGGGAAAAAGGGGGAACATCACAAAAAGTAAGTTTCAAGAAAAACGCATTTCAAAGTTTAAAACCTCCTTACTTTTCGGAAGTTGGAGGAAACTGAAATCAAACCACCTGGATTCATTTGATGGAGTATAATGAGCAATAAAGTTGAACAACTAGTAATAAAAATCATATTCGAATGAGAAAATCATCGAAATCAAACAATAAGTGCAAAGGTTCAAGGAAAAAATGGGGAATGTCCAAATAAATTGTTGAAGAAGAGAATTGTTCACTCGCAAATGTATGCTCTGGTTCATTTCATAATTTTTGCCTGACTACCTAATGAGTGATAAATTGTCATATAGTACATCTAGCATCTCTATAATTTGATCATTTTCTATAAATTCCATTCAATATGAGAAGGAATCATCATGTAGCAATCTCATCATTTTATTCCCATCACTCAGAGGTACTCCACAAGCCCAGTCAGCACACCCTTTTGTCGTCAACCTCTACTAAAACTCGTTTATACATAGAACGGCAAAATTTTGTAATTTTTTGCCAGAGTATTCCCAAGAACTTATGATCTCCAAAAGTTGGAAAAAATCCCAATACCTACCTCCTCTCCCTATCCTCCCTAGGTACCCACGATATTCCACGAACATTATAGGTATTTGCGGTATTCCCTTCCGTACGCTCCAAGAGATGAAAAAAGGTGGCCGTCTCTCTTTTTTTTCTCATCTTTCGTTTGCCTGAGAGTTCACTTTGACCTTTTAACAGTGTGAAAACAATCTATTAAAATCACAATGGAATCTGCATTCAAGAAAGAACTAAGCATTCCGCGTTATATCCATGTGAACGTAATTTCGAACGAGCATATTAGCTGGCTGTGCTGCGTTATTGCTATGGACTTCTGTTTATACTAAAACATAGTGGTTACAGGTGGTTAGGCTATCAGATGGCGGTGTTAAGTCAATTTCTACTATATTGTGACATTCCCCCTTTTTCCCCTGTGGTCGTTGTTAATTACAGCGCAAATAACGGGACACAATTCAATAAAATATGTGGAAAATTATATTTTTTATTTTTCTGACAAATTGTCACATGAATTGAACTGACATAAGTTCTCGTCAAAAACAGGGTGATATAAAACTAAATTCAACATTCTCCCCTCCGTGAAGAGATATACTCTTCACCAATCAATCCTCAGATTTAGGCAATATGCACAGCTTGGTGACTGGTCTAGTGTAATTTCCATTTTTTGTCTTCACTTGAGCGAATCTGACAATTTGGTCTTTGCCAGGAAATACTTGTACTACACGACCTAATAGCCATTGATTTCTTGCTGATTTTTCGTCAACAATAACAACGATGTCGCCAATCTTGATCTGTTCCGTTTTTGAATGCCATTTAGGACGTTGAACTAACGTTGGTCGATACTCTTTGATCCATCGCCTCCAATAGAATTCTGCCAAAGTCTGAGCATTCCTCCATTGCTTACGAACGATCTTCTCATCACTATCATATGACATCACTCCTCCTGGTCGCATTAACAAAAAGTGGTTTGGAGTAATGGCCTCGGGCTCTACAGGGTCCACAGAAATATGAGTTAGCGGTCTAGAGTTCACCATATACTCAACTTCTAGGAGCAATTTTAACAATACTTCCTCTTTAGGATTCACGGAAGTCAATGTAACTTTGAGGGCAGTTTTCACTGAGCGGATCATCCGCTCCCAAATCCCACCCATGTGAGCTGCTAGAGGGGGATTGAATTTCCAAATTATGTCCTTAGTTGATAGAAAGTCCGTGAGATGAGTTTGGCCCCATGCCTGTATCCATTCTTTCATTTCTCGCTCTGCACCGATGAAATTTGTGCCATTGTCAGTGAAGATTTCCTTCGGTTGGCCTCTCCTGGACATGAATCTTCTCATTGCCAAAATTGTAGAGCTGGTATCTAGACTGGATGCGAGTTCGATATGGATAGCTCTCAAAGTTAAGCATGTGAATAAAACTCCATATCGTTTTTCCACTCTTTTTGTTGGTGTTTTGTCAAATGCCCAAATTGCTTGATCTAACTTCTTCAGATTCAGATGGAATACGAAGTTGTCACTAGTTGAAGACCAAAACAACCCTAAAACTCTTTTCATCTTGTTCGTATCGATTCTCAAGTTTTCTGGATTTAGCGCTCGTAAATTTTCAGGTATTGATTCCATGACGGCTACTGAGTTGCTGACCCATTTAACCATCTCAAATCCTCCTTGAAGGTGTACATGGATAACGTTTCTTACTGTATCTATTGCTTCGTCTTCGGTGTTGAAAGAATCTAGATAGTCGTCGACGTAATGTTGTTTTTCCATTCTCGTGATTCCTGGAAATTCGGCTTCAAATTGCTCTGCGTTTTTGTTTTTTACGAACTGAGCTATCGATGGTGATGAAACAGCTCCAAAGATCATCACATTCATTTCGTATGTATCAGGTATACTAGAATTCTCCTCTCCACGCCAGAAAAATCTTTGAGCACATCTGTCTTTCTTTCTTATCAACACCTGGTGAAACATTTCCTTGATGTCAGCGTTAACAGCAAATCTACCCTGTCGAAACCGCCATAACACAGCTACTAAGGAAGGGACTAGGTTTGGTCCTTGCAAAAGGAAGTCGTTGAGGCTACAATTATGGCTCTTCGCAGCAGCATCAAATACCATCCGAATTTTCCCAGGCTTGTTGACGTTCCAAACCGCAAAATGCGGTAGGAACCAAGTTTTTGAAGTATCTACTATTTCATTGGTATCCAGTTTCTTTGCGTAACCCCTTTCAATATACTCATTTATTTTGGCAGTATACTGCTTACCAAATGCCGCATCTTTACTCATTTTCCGCTCCATGCATTGAAGGCGTTTCAAGGCACTCGGTCGGCTATCAGGCAGGACTTTGGTCTCATTCTTCCATAGATGTCCGATTTCATAATGATTTCCAACTTTTCGAATTGTCTTCTCCATGATTTCTATTGCCATCTTATCTTCCACCGATTTGACCAAATTATTCTGTAGACTCACACCAAAATTTTCCAGGCGGAAGCTATCTTTTATCAGCGAATGCAGTTCCTCATCTTTATTGGTGTAATGACAACAGAGGTTAACATGCTCAGGTTTTGTTGTTCCATCAACACCAATCGCACCATGGATGGTCCAGCCTAATCTGGCCTTTGACATTATTGGATAATGTATTCTTGGTTGAATCACTTGTCTTGGGATTATCAATCCGCAATTATCTTGCCCAATTAAAATCTGAGGCTTAGCTTCTTTAATCGAATTGAGAATTTTCTGGTCGAGGTGAGGAAATTTTTCAAGTATAACATCGACATCAATGTTTTGATCAGGAAGATCAAGATTCTCAACAGTTCGCACACCTTTCAACTGGTAGAAGACAGAATTGACAGTATCAGCTGCAACATCTATACAAACTGACTTCGAATCATCCTCATAATGACTGATACCGTTCGTCCACTGAAAGCATAAAGGAACATTGGGCCCAGAGAGTTCAAGGTCAGCTGCTAGCTTGGCTTCTATAATTGAACAGGTGGAACCTTCATCAAATAATGCGAAAACTTTAATTTCCCTAGAAGGTCCACGTATCTTGATAGGTGCAATTCGAAGGAGTATCGCTCTGTCACTGGAAGTTTGTTTGGCACAGAATTCTGCTTGAGTTTGAGCGTGAGATTTTTGTTCTGTTGCCACTGATGCTCTTTCCATGTGGAGAGTTTTATGGTGACGTCCTCTACAACCATTTTCATTGCACTTTTTATTTTGATTTCGACATCTAGTTGCCATGTGTCCAGTTTTGAGACAAATAAAGCAAAGTTTTCTTTCCAATACAGCTGCTCTTCTATCGACAACAGTTTTCTCCAGAAATTCCCCACACTCTGTAATATCGTGAATTGAACTCTTGCAGAATTCACAATTTTTTCCTCCAGTTGTAGATTTCTTGTTGGATATCATTACATTCTCCTTCTTGTATGTAGCCGATTTATGAAAGGGATTTGAAATAGCTGCAGCGGAATTTACTTCCTCTTCGAACCATTCCGCGAAGACCTCCAATGAGCACGTTAAGCCGTCCAGCTCATGACGGTACTTTTGTTTCCCCCAAGAATACTTCTGTATTGGAGTTAATTTTTCTACCAATGCAGACAGTAATTCTGGATTATATAAATATCGATCACACTGTACATTTTTTATGATCGTCACCATATTATTCAAAGTATTCGAAAATGTTATGCTTGATTCAAGTCTATCCTCTTTAATTGGATTCAGCTTCTTCACTTTTTCTATTTGGGAAAGGATAATCCATTCTGAGCGACCGAAATTCATTTCCAGCATCTTGATAATCTTTGGGACATTCCTCGAGGAAAATAGCAAAGCCTTTACTGTTTCCCGTGCTCTGCCTTTCAAAGCTCTTTCGAGGCGCAGCAGATTTTCTTCATCGGTGAAACCATGAATTTCTGTTGATTTTCTAAATTCATTGATGAATATCGGCCACTCCGTAAGATCACCAGAAAAGTGTGCTAGATCTCTGACTCTTTGGCGCATCAATAATTTATTAGTGGCAAAGGTATTTTCAATGCACTGTCTAGCAATATCGAAAAGCGCATCGTTTTGTTTGAGATGTTCCGTCTCCACCTCCAAATAAGGCTTCTGCGAAGAAATTGTTGGAAAATCACATCCATGTGTAGGATTGCAATGTTGAGAATGTGTTGAACTAGATTTGATGCATCCTCTAGCTCCTTCAAGCCATTTGTTCAGATAGCTAGGACTCTGGTACAAATCTTCTTCAGGAACATAATCATTCTCACAGCTAGCTTCGAGGCTAGCTTCCTGTTCTAGTATTTTCTTATGGATTTCCGTTTTCTTCTTAAGATGTTCACGTCTTCTTTCGATTGATCGAAGACGTTCGTTGGCTTCTTCTTCATCTAGCCGGTTCTGTTGTTCAACTGCCATGAGTTCTAGGCTCAGTTGATTAAGGCTAGACTTCTTTGAGACTATTGTTTGCCTCTCAGACCTTTCATCATACCTGGAACTTTCATTCCGAGCATGAGGCATTACTATTTCAGACCTGCACATGGTTTTCGTTGTAGCTTTAGAGCTTTCCACCAAACCTGAGGATTTATTCTTCGAAGTGGATTGGTACATGGCACTATTGTAGTCTTCAGGCACTTCAGTTGAAGCTACATTACCAACCACAGTCGCTGAATACCTCTTTGGTGGTATTCCCTTGGTACACCTACTGCTACGTCTTACCGCTTCCTCACCGGTATTGGCAGTCGATCTGAATTCCATAGCGCGTTCAGTTAGCTTCGAAGGACCAAATGTTAATTACAGCGCAAATAACGGGACACAATTCAATAAAATATGTGGAAAATTATATTTTTTATTTTTCTGACAAATTGTCACATGAATTGAACTGACATAAGTTCTCGTCAAAAACAGGGTGATATAAAACTAAATTCAACAGTCGTCAATTGGTACACTCCAAGAAAGTGAATAAATATTTAGAAAACGTGTTACTGGCTTCTTTTGATGAAAAATAAAAGACTCTGAAGTTATCAGAGTACATTTGTGTGCAGAAACAAGTCATAGAAGGTTTGAATCGTGTAAACCTGCCTATGATGTTCGTACACACTGACAAAAATAGTTTGAGTTTTGACACTACTCATCAAAGACGATAAGATGATTAATCAAGATTGACAAGCCTGACTCACAATAGCCTATAACTGCTGTACGACTTGTTTATAGGTCGCGTGCAAGAACTGTCAGATGACCGACCCTGGAGGCAAAACATATTTGTTTACAAGTGATCGAAATAGTTTTCCACAATTATTTTGGCATATGAATCGTATTTTTCCGCTATTCATCAATTCGCTAATGCCATCACATTATGCTGTTGTAAAATGCACAAAAACTGCAGCGGAAGATGAAGAAATCCGGATGGTACATTATGATTCAAAAGTAAGTACCTACTATAGTCACTCACATAGTTTTCATTTTTGAAATTTGGTTATTTCTCTGATTTCTCATCGGAGTTCCTTCTGCAATATGATCAGCTAATAGAAATATACCTGAAAGTTCTAGAATAATGCAAGAAGATCGGATTCATGCAATCAATTGGTAGGACTGGTCTGACATGCTGACGATCGTGTGTGTTGTAGACATTTTCAATCTTTTAGCAGCATTAGCTTGTATTGCAGAAGTGGCAGAAGGCAGAAGGAATTTTAATAAGGAATGACAACATTTCATAATGCTAACTATGTGAGATTACTATTTACCTGGAAAATCATATTCCCTAGTCTCTTGCTGCATTTTTTGTGCATTGTACAACAGCACAATGCGAAGGCATGCTTGAATTAATGAATAACGCAAGAAACACGATTCGTATGCCAAAATATTGTGAAAAACTATTTCAACCTTTTGATTTCTCTGTAACCAAATAAAAAAGTGAGGTTGTGTTTCAATAATTCACAGAAGAATGAGGTTGTGTTTCAATATTTTGCCTCCAGGGTCGGTCTTCGTGCACGCGACCTATGCACACCAGCGAAGAGACATTATACAAGAAGGTGCAAGCAAAAAAGAGCGCGAAACTTGCATGCTACAGAATTCTGTAGAAAAAAAGTTCGTAACAAGCGAGCGAAACGTGATGAAACCTCTCGCCGCGAGATGCATAGCATTCCACATTTCATGTCAACTCAAGTAAATGCCACGTTGTCAAGATACCCTGAATGAAAGTCTGGTGAGACACGAGAGTCACGAGACAAGGGAAAAAAACTCACAGAAAAATGTTATTTGGAAATATGAGTGAATAAGGCGAGTATCGTTAAGTAAAATATTACAGGGATCTTATAAATGATTGAACCATCTTAGTGATTTTTGAAATGTTCCCTTCATATGCCACTTTCCACTTATGGGGAGTCTAACATTTGTATTCCATATCTGACAATCCTTACTGTCATATATTTAGATATCCTAAAGATTTTCCATTGATGAAAGGTGGCACATGATATTTCAACTACCACTACGATGTCACGTCACAATCATTCATAGTAGCCCTTTACTCAATACGTATGTAAATAAAAATTTATGATGAATATATTTTTTTCCCGTTCAGGAATTCAATTCCAAAAGTATTCACACGAATTCTTGCTCAACTGCCTGACTTGCTTTTCATAGTTTATCAATGAACGAATTAATTCAAGTCAGGAATATACGAAATTAGTTGTAATGATTGTGATAAAACATATATAGGCCAAACCAGGCGTCCCATGAAAACAAGGTTCAAAGAACACTTAACACATTTAAAATATGGTAGGTTAGATAAATCGTGTGTAGCAGAACACATGTTTAATAACAATCATAACACACATATTAATAACCTTACATTAGGTAAGCAAGTTAATAATGTTAGAAAATTAGATGCCAATGAAAGCTTACAGATATTTAAGAATAGTAATAGAGTAATGAATACGGATGATGGACCTATCCCATTTAGCCTTCTGTAAAGTTTTGTAATATAATGGACATATACCTAGTATATAAGTAGCTCACTAGGATAGATCATTCCGTTTTAATCTTCTACGGAAGATGCTAACATAGTTTGCGAAACTCGTGTTGAGGTGTAAAAAATCGGTTTGGTTGGTGGTAAAACAGTGTGTAGTGTATTTTAATCACACTCCAAACTCTTTGTAATCAGAGAAGCATTATTTGCTTTTCTTGGTTCGCGAACAGTTTACTTTAATATTTTAATGTATTATGACGAACTACCAGAGGCTAGACCATCTTAAGTTATCCTTAGAATCGAATCTAACTAAGTTGGCCCCTGGCAGTTTGTCGTGAACGTTAAAATATTACAAAGTAAGTTAATCCTACATATTTAGCTGATCGATCGAAAGCGTCATCTCTTCATCACTTGAAGGTTAACTTTGGATTGTTTTCCACTATGAACATTTAGAAATTCAATTATAGTCTATCCAAAGTCAATTGGAGCATCTCTCGCGGCGACGGCGGGTTTGAAGTTCCTTTTTGAAGTCAGTGCACGCGCGGCTCGAGATGCTCCAATTGACTTTGGATAAACTATACATTTGTAATAAACAAATAAACCAACGTAAATTCGGAAAATGAAACGGGGCGTTCATTTGAGAAACAAGATCCTTAGATACTTTTCTATAGATTACAAAGACATCTTCACAGAGAGGGGGGCAATTTAGCTGGGATATGTTCTCTAATTTACTATTCCTTTGTTGTTTTTCAGTTTCAATTACAAGTTCATACAGTTTTATTTCACATATTATTGTCCTGCTTTTAAATAGATCCACCATTGCTGCTTTTGGTTGTCATCGACTTACTGTTCTGAATCCACACCAGTCCTCATTATTTAAAAATCGTTATAATTTTAGCTATATGTGGAAGATGCAGTAGGTGATAGGGTGTTTGTTGATAGTCCTTTTTGCAAGCCTTTCGTGGAGAATATCATAACAGCTTTCAACACAAAGATGCCACCATCATCCCTTTTGAAGTCTGAAACATGGACTTCTGCAACAAGGGATACGGCTAGTCCTTTAACAATCAATAGCATAGATGAGGATGAAGGTTCATATTTTTTGTTATTCATGAGATTTTATGTACCTACAATTTTTTTTTTAGTTTTTAGCGAACAAAGAGCTATAGTTGAGTCATGGAATTCTAAAATTTTTCCTAGATATACACAATCTCAAGAAAAAGTTGAACAAATAGTGCTAGAAGCAATAAAAGAACAATTAGCTAGAAGACAACAACCAGAAACAATAACGAAAAATTTTGTACGGTTTTTAAGTACAGCTTGTGGACTTGTTGAAATACGGATTATAGCAGTTTCTCGTATAGAAACTTGGCTACATAACCACAAATTGATGAAGCCAGCTCAAGAGCTATTGGCTTATTTATGTTATAATTGTTCTGCAAGTTCTCAAAGAGATTTAGAAGTTATAGCACAGCTCAGCAAGCTGCGCTTGAAAAATAAACCAATGGTAAACTACTTCAACAACTGTTTGAGGGAGATGGTATTTTCGTTTCCAGAAAACTTATATCCATTATTGAAGTACACAATATATAATGAACTGAGTAATGCTAGAAATTCAAATAATCTTATTGTTGTTGGAGCTCTGTTTCAAGTAGCACCAGATGCTAGTGCAGATGCCTTTGCTGATATCTGTCTGGTAAGTTACAAATGCATGCGCATAAACCTATTTTCTCGCCTATTTTACAAAGGACAATATGATTTTCGTGAAGTAACTGATACAGTATCAGACATTGAATATATGTGGAATGGTTTTGCTTGATATGGACATTTAATATATCTACATTTTGAATGAATTATGTGATATACTTTCCAGAAATCGATTTATTGAAAGTTGTTTATGATGTTATATAATTGCTCTATCATTAGGGGAAAAAGAGAAATGTATGAATCACTACAAAACAAAATAATATTTACAAGAACTCAATGAGGAAGTTTCATGATTTTTCATCAAATCAGTATCTCCATGGTTAGCTTCATGTTTTTGCAATCTACAATTTTTATTGAAATTATCTAAATCATTTTTTTTAACTAAGCCAATAGGCCTTTTCATTTAGATGACAAATGAATATCTCTGTTTACATCTCGCATCCAACGACAGTGGCGGCCATTTTCACCGAAACACTTACACCACAGTACCACACTCCTCAGTAACGAATAAGTAACGTTTTTTGGAATTAAATTATTATAATACAATTAATACACACCAGGAATATAAAAACAAAAATACTATGTTGTTATTGTTGTTTCTCAATGACGAATGCCCATGGTGGTTGACATTTGACAGAACGTCAATAATACCCGCCATATTCGAAATGGCCAATCAGCATTTTGTGTTGGAACTATAGCCAATGAGACTTCACCTTTGCATTATCCAATAAATTCTTGGATCTAAAAACGAGCGCATGCGTCTTAAAAATATATCTAGATGAAAAGGCCTATTAAGATGATTTCAGGCGGCAAATTATAACGTAATCGATGAACCTAGTATGATTACAGGAATAATAAGTTTTGCTATTTGTAATTGAATATCCGAACAAGACCGAACTGAAAATGTATTTAAGTATAGGAAGAAGAATGAAATTCTTCTGGTTGAGCAACGTACAATCAAATGATTCCCATTATCTACCTTTAGATGAATCATAATCAACAAATGCATTAACGAATACAATGAAAACAGTGTGTCCCAAATTCGATCGTCACCATTGGATTTTTCCAGATTTGAAATCAGCATCAAATTGCCTTCCTTCAAAAGATCATGAACAGGAACTATTCGAATGTTGAAGTCGTTTTTTTATACAATTAATTGTTTTCGAGATCGATGGAAATAAAATTGAAAAATTACAGTTTTTCTTGAATAATTCGAGAATGACTGAAGCTGAACCAGATTTCTTGACGGATACTGAATCATGATTGAATTTGCTGAAACTTTCGAAATTTAACCGGCTCTCTAATATACTAGACCGTGCATAATTAAATAAACAGACAAGAACATAACCAGTCAATATAGAATTTTTGAATCCCCAAACCATTCCAAACATATAAGTGAAAACGGCAAAATCACGCAGTCGCGCTTGCAAAATTGCGTTTTAGCTTTGCTTAAACGTGGCACTTCAAGTGACGTCAACAGACTGGTGAAGGAGCCAGAAATAATTAGAACTTATTTCCGAAGAAAAAACTGATACAACGCTTTTTCATATACTTCACGGAGAAATGAACATCTCAATATAATCGTTTTCTTGAATTCTTCGAAAATAACAATCCATTGTACAGTGGTTAATATGGATTCCGTAGGTCAAAGGATGTAATTTCGATCATCCATTCACAGATTGACGAAATTGATAAATGTGGCTTCTTGTCCTTGGACCTATGTAAGGCATTTGACACTGTAGATCATACCATTTTACTAAATAAATTATATCCAATCGGTGTCAGAAGAAGAATTAATGATTGGTTCACACATTATTTGACAAATAGAAAGCAGTTTGTTGAAGTGAATGATACTTGTGGCTAAAATTATTTGCGGATGATGCAACATTGATTTATATATCGAAAGAATTGAATGATATCGAACGGGATATTGAAAGTGATTTGGAAAACATATTGTCTTGGATGCAAATTCATAAGTTGACTCTGAATTATAACAAATCTTCATATATGTATATCTCCAAGAGATAATATTTCAAATAATGCTATAACTTTCAATAATAGATTCATTAAATATACAGACGTGACAAAATTTTAGGTCTCTCTATTGATGAAAAATTATTATGGACCAAACATATAGATACATACCATTTAGGAAATAAAATACATTCGATCATAGGTATTTTATTCAAAACCCGAAATATCATTCCCATAAAATACTTGAAATATGTTTACTTTTGCCTCATTTATTCAAATTTGCAATATGTAATTTCTATTTGGGGGAGTACAAATATTTCACTGCTAATACCACTAATGAAATTACAAAACAAATCAATCAATCAATCAATTAAATGCATTTTTCATCTACATTTTTTTTTGACCAACGGTAAATTTATACAAACTTAGACATTTTCTGAACCTCATTTCGTTATATTGTTTTATTTATTTTGCCAGGAATAAAATAAAAATATCAAATTTTGCTTTTAATGACGTCGATACAGTCCATAGTTATGGGACTAGACAATTGAACTACTTGATAGCAAATACATTCAAGTCGAACATTGGAAAACAATCTGTATTCCACAATGGAATGATTTTATTCAATTCATTAATTACCAAATGACTTAAAAAATATACATGATCCAAGAAGGTTCAAAATCAATCTTAAAAAATACTTGCTCAGGATAATTTCAATGAAAAATATTTGGCATGATTTGATTACTCAGAAATGGAACGTTATAACTTTCATCTTAAGAGGGGCGTAACCAAGGTCATTTCACAATGGCTGGAATGCAGACCTTTACTATGAAATGACTTTCGGCGTTATTAAAAGTCCGATTGCCAAATAGATTGAATCATCATAAAGACGAAAGTTCCGACTCGGGTTTGGATAGTTTTGAAGGCAAATTTCGTTCGATTAAGAAAGCTGCAGAAGATCAAAAAGATGTAAACATTGTAAAATTTTGTGTCTCAGAATAACGTTATATTCACTCATACCCTGCGTTATTATTTTGGGCAACCCACACTAGAATTTCAGCTCTTGAAATGTAACCATTTAGATGAAAGCCTTTTTTATATTCAATTTATGTAAACAATAGGCCTATATATCTTGTATGGATAATATCTTCTCTAAATTAGATGGTAGAAAACTTGAATATCGTAGTTCAGGTACTCTCTGCTAGATGGAGGTACCGTCGCAGCAGTCGGTTCTAAAAGCATCTATAATCTAGTACGTTTTGCGCGAACTGGATGATGTACCATTAGATGGAGCTCAAAATGTGAAAAGTTTGTTATTTGTTCAAGAATGCCTTTGCACGTTCAAGGTTGTCGGAGGCAATAGCAAACATTTATCACTCATTTTTTAATTCACGAATGGCGGTAAATTCGAATTTGTTAGTAATAGTTGCACTGGATGTGCTTCTAACGAGCGCATCACGGACGTGAGATCATGAAAATAGTTTATAGAAATCGAATTGGAGTGAATCACACAATTTTATGTCTCAACAATACATGCTTCCATTTTTGGCGATTGTGGAATAAACTGGTCAGCGGATATCAATATATAAGCTGCTCATAAATTTGATTGAAATTCACGAACCCGGACCAGTGTTGTCACCTTAGTCTTAGTGTATTCTACCCTAGAACTGAATCTAAATGGGTCTGTTTGAGTGGAATTTCATATTTCATTATGTCGATTTACAAAATCAAACTATGTAATTCACTGTCGGAAATCATTTTTTTGTCAGAGCTATGTACAATTTTCGAAATTTTTATTATTGAAATTATACTGATATTTATCACATGAAAAACGCGGAACATTGCGTCCGAACATTGATCCGACCTATGTATTGCCGAAACTTGGAGTGCAAATATTTTCCTTTGACTTTTGTGGGGCGGCCGACTCGGTGCGATTGTCGGCGATATGGCTGCCAAGCCGTCGCCGTTTGTCGTCCTAACAACACAAGTACATCCTAGGAACTTCCCAGGGACGTCCCTAATTTTATACAAGGACATCCCAGAGATATCCTTTGTCGGGACAGAGTACATACTAGGGACGTCTCAGGGACATCAGCTGGCTGACAAAAAAAGCATTCAAGGGATTTCCGTCTGGTACGTCCCTGGGATGTACCAAGAACGAAGAAAGGATATCCCTAGGAGGTCGCAAGGATATTCCAGGGACATCCCTTCGACAAAAGAAAAAAATTAGGTCGAGAAGGGTTTGAACCAGGGACTTTTAGCTTATCAGGCACGCACCTTAATCCATTGGCTGATATGCCTTCTGAAGATTTATGTGCCAAACAGATTTTCAAACAGGACTAAACTGCAGAAACCTGAATAAATACAACTTTGTTAGGATTTGGGTATTATATTATTATCATTCGTGGATGTTTAAAAATGAGGGGATTATGCATTTACGATTTCTGTTTGCGAAAAATGGTCATTTCTTGAGAAGTTTTGAGACAATTTTCTTTATTTTCATTACAATTATTTACCGGAAAAGAAAACAAACATTTTCATGAAAATTCAACTCAATATTTTGATGGAAGTCAATGACTCTGATGTGAATAGATATCAGATATTCCAGGGACACGAATAGGATAACCTATGGATGTACCGGGCCGGATGTCCACTGGACAACCACCCCTGGATACCCCAATTATGTCCTTGTACCGTGCGACAAAAAGGGTACGTACCTAGAACATCCCTGTGTTGTTAGGGCGGAGATTCTGAGCGTTCCGTAGTCTGTACTCCGTTGTTCTAGAGCGGTAAAATCGATTCTACTCAGAAAAAGTTACTGGTATCACAAAATATCAACGCCGATTTCATGATTATATATCATGGCATATAGCCTGGAAATGTAGCTGTTTTCTGTTTTTATCTCTTCTAATATACCAAAAAAGAATTCATATTTTTCAACAACTAGATACCTACCTACTGTAAAAAATGGTTCATAAGCATGCAGTTTCAACTCTTGTAATCCAATAAATAAATGAATTCTATACAGTGTGTCCCACTCACCATGCTCACCATGGGTATCTTTTTAACGGTGAGAGATATGAGGTCGGTTAAAATGACACCAAATATGGAGTTTGTCAAGGCCAACTATAATGTGAAAAAATATTTTGATAAAATCTATTCGTTTCTGTTTTATACGCAAAAAACAGATTTTGATCATTTTCATGTCTCCTCCGTAACTTCTTCATTTGTGAAAATATTCAAATAGGAATTCCACATTCTCATGGCAGTTTTTCAGAGTGATTTCGAAAAAAATATGAAATTTATGCCAACTCTTCTAGAATTTGAGATATCAGCACCAACTTTAGTTTTTCAAATGTAGGTCATATCTCACTATGACTTAGTTACAAATAACTTTTTTTTCCCTTACAGATGATATGTCGCAGTAATAGGTTTGTGTTGATAACAACGGAGTTATCGTCATTTATACAAAAACAAAAAATTATTTGGAAGCCGCCATCTTGAATTTATAAATTTTAACAAAAAAATCATGATCTCCGACCTCAAAAAACCCCAATTACCAATTTTGAATGGAATCGGACCAAATCTTGTCCGCCATCTTGGAGCAGCCATTTTTTTTAATTTCAACAAAAATTCCATAACTCCGATTGACTTGAAATTTGGCAGGTGTTCATAATTTCGGTGACAATACATCATGGAATTTCTGTTGAAATAAAAAAAAATGGCTGCTTCAAGATGGCGGACAAGATTTGGTCCGATTCCATTCAAAATTGGTAAGTGGGGGTTTTTGAGGTCGGAGATCATGATTTTTTTGTTAAAGTTTATTAATTCAAGATGGCGGCTTCCAAATAATTTTTTGTTTGTGTATAAATGACGACAACTCCGTTGTTATCTACACAAAACTATTACTGCGACATATCATCTGTGAGGAAAAAAAAAGTCATTTGTAACTAAGTCATAGTGAGCTATGACCTACGTTTGAAAAACTAAAGTTGGTGCTGATATCTCAAATTCTAGAAGAGTTGGCATAAATTTCATATTTTTTTCGAAATCACTTCGAAAAACTGCCATGAGAATGTGAAATTCCTATTTGTATATTTTCATAAATAAACAAGTTACGGAGGAGGCATGAAAATGATAAAAATCTGTTATTTGCGTATAAAACAAAAACGAATAGATTTTATCAAAATATTTTTTCACATTATAGTTGGCCTTGACAAACTCCACATTTGGTGTCATTTAACCGACCTCGTATCTCTCACCGTTAAAAAGATACCCATGGTGAGCATGGTAAGTGGGACACACTGTATATGTTCCAATAGTTATGACTCACTATCTGTATATTATGCCTATTATAGATGATGTATTTTATTTCATTTTTATAGTGAATCATTAACAATCAAAGATTCAAAGATATCTGACTATTTATTTTCTATCTACTGATGAGACTCTAATAAGAAATTATCATATTCAAATTGATTATATTATCAATATTTGGTAATGTCTTAAAATTACAAAACTTCAATATGGAATATGGATACAAATTGAGTGAAAAAAATAATCAACGAAAAAGGCGTGAGATGTTTTTCCAGATATACATATATATTGGTCTAGGCAAAGTATGACAAGTTATTCACAAGGGAATTTAAAAAAAAGCCACGGAGTAAGAACCCAACTGAGTGAGAGATCATAATATGTTCTTCTCTCTTCCGCAAGGAACCGAGGGAAAAATCAATACTCGCATCTCGTTGTTATTGTTTTGGTTGCGGATTCCCCATATACGTCCATGGGATTCACCGACCGTAGCAAACATTTTTTTATCGGAACCGGTCGGGCGGGTCGGGTCTCATCTCATCGTAGAAGACAAGGATAAACAAACATTTCTGGAGCGATAGCACGCGGTGGGATGGGATCTGTAATTCTGTACAAAAGTGTAGTAATCTGTACAATTAGTTCAGACATGTTCTGTGTGCCTAGTGGAGTTGCTACCTCACAGTGGCTAAACGATAGACGAAGGGATGAGCGGGGCATCGACTCGAAAATATAACACAGGTTGGGCATCTTCCCAGCGTAAGCGTAATATATCAATCAACGACTGAACTATGTTGAAAATAATATGATTCATCATTTATCCATCTATCGGCTGGAATTGTAAGTAAATGTTCTGTCAGCCGTCATAATGTTTCTTGCCCTGAGCGCCCTAGGTGGTCCAATCGGCAGTCGATTTGAATTGTACTAGATCGATACAGATTTCTGTACTGATATTAGGCTTCGAAAAATTGACGAGCTCTGCATTGAATTTTCAAGATGGCGTAATTTATTTATGATTTCTTCACCGTAGTGACATCTTGCGAGAAAGTCAGCGTTAAAATGTGGACGCCCGTCTTAAGAAACAATATTAATTTGTTTCCACTGAGTGGAATTAATTAATTATTGAACCTTTATTATATATTTTTTTCTGTTCTCTACTCATGTATCTCTATCATAAACAGGAATGTTTCTTCGGGTAATGAAGAAAAAAAGAAGAATATTGAAAACTTTCCTATTGGACAGAATGTCATACTTCAACGGGGGAATGTTTTGAAACTTGCTGAACAAAATTTACTTAAATTTCTTCTTCCAAAGCGCCTCAATATCTGTCTGAAAATATAATTGTTTTGCCGTCTCGAAAGCGGTTTATACGATCTTGATTTTCATTTAAATATAATCATACTGAATCAAAACCTTCATCACCTCATGAAGTTTCAAGATACTCCTTATTATCACTATGATTTTCTAATTGATGCTCTGGCTCCGAAATCAGTCTTTCTATTTCCAGTTCAAAAATAGAAATTGTTTTTTATGGGAAAGTTTTGCAATCTCGCTTAGCTCGTATTTTTTTATTCATTTCGTAAAGATCCATCTCTCCATCATGACATTCTTTCGAGGTCTTTCTCAAATATTTTTCAGGAACTTCTACTCAACAAAGACGACTATCTCCGCTCCATTCGTGCCCTCCTCAAAGAGATCAACAGAGTACTCAGACACGAACTCAACTTGCTCAGTATCGTTCACGCGCTTCTTCGCGAACGCAAAGAATATGCCAGCAGCGTGAGAGATCACGAGTTCAGAGAACGCATTTTTCTGTCTCTGGTCGACCTCAGCTGCATGAGCATGCTCCTGTGCGTCAGCCCCCAAGTCAGAGATGGGGCGACGCAGAGCAAAAGAGATGCGAGCGTTTTGAAAACTTTCCAGATGCAAGTCAGTAACATCCAGAGAGAATGCGTCACATGGTTGCACGATTCAGCTTTGAGAGTGTACAGACCGAGTATCACCGATTTCATTCATGCCTTACACAAAATACTCTTCTTGGAGCAACCTGAGCATTATTATAAAGTGGATTCGTGGCCGGGGGAGAACGAGAGAAATTTATTTCTGAGGCTCGCTAGTGAAGTGCCTCTTTTGCAAGCAACTTTACTGAGGGTCTTGTTGATAGGGATATCAAAGGAACACCCTATAAGTGCTCAAGAAGTGGTGGAAATAACAGATCAGCTCATAAAAAGGGCAGCAAACTTGCCGCAAGACTGTACGCCACCATTGGTAGTAGATAAAGTGGAGATCATAGACTTTTTTTTCAACTTGTGCAGTTATAACTATCCAGAAAATTTTAGTTTACCTTCTGGATATGTTCCACCCAAATTGGCTATAACTGCCTTATATTGGAAGGTTTGGTCGATACTTTTGATCTTGGCTGCTCATAACCCGTTGAGTTTTGGTAGTTTGGCTTGGAATAAGTATCCGACACTCAGGATGTTCATGGAAATGTGTATAACTAAGTGAGTAACCTCAAGTGTTCATCCTTCTTCTTTAGTGTTTCCGAAATTATAGAGATAAATGAAGTGGGTAATTGATAGAAAACAAAAATACAAAACGATATTTGGAAAAGCCTGAATACGTTCTTCATTTCCTTTTCGTCTCTTAGAATGACAACATAGTAGCTGAAATACGTATTCATTTCCTTTTCGTCTCTACTGAGGATGACAACATAGTAGCTGAAATACGTATTTGGCTTTTCTAAATATTATTATTGTATTTTGGGTATATTTTGTATTTGAAGTTAACCCCAGTTTAAACAACTCCATTTGATGAAAAATTATTGATTTTGAAGATTTTGAATATGAGAGTATGTTATTTTTATAAATCATTGATTAGAGATTAACGACAGTTACTGAGCCGAGCCCGAGCGTATGCTTTTAGCGAGATCAGATTCACCGGCAGTATAATTACTTTTGCAATGTTCAGTAATACATTCACCAGCTAAAAAAATCATCTTAAGATACATATTTGTATTTGTTTGTGATTATTAAGAATTGAAAATTTCGGAAAAAAATAAAAAAATCACGTTGTTCCATTCAAAAAATATATCTTATATACATAGCTTATTCATAATATTATTAGGAAATAACAAAATCACCTCTAATTCCATGATCCTGTGTAGTAGTGTTACACAAATTTCATTCAGTATGATGTGGAGAAATCCAAATGATATCTGCTATATGGTGCTATTTAATTGATAGTTAATATGTTGATGTGTTCCATTTTGTTATTTCAGTCATTTTTCTTTTCCTCCACCCACAATGAATTCCCTCGAGGAAGACTACCAAGCAAAGGAACAACAAATCCTCGTTTTAGAAAAACAAATCATCCTGGAATTCGAATCCCACTTGGCAGCAGCAAGCACCAAAATGGAAATCAACGAGCAAACCAGCCTTCTTCTTCCTCAGTGCATGGAACTGAGACCCTTAGGGGAAGCTAGACGTCCCCCCAAAAACGTTCTAGACCAACTACAAGTCCTCAATAACACGCATAGGCTGGGACATTTTTTTTGTCGGTCAAGACATCCAGATTTCCTTTTGGACATCATGTCCCGACAGGGGGGTACGGCACATATGCCTTGGCTAGCAGAGTTAGTACATAGCTCGGAAGGAGTACTAGCCCATTTGCCCGTCCAGTGTTTGTGTGAATACTTGTTATCCACAGCTCCAGCTGAAAAGCTAACCAAACATGGACAGCTGTTGGCACATCTGCGCACAGTTGTCAATGGCAATGACCCGCAAACGGCTTGCGAAGTCTTGGAGTACCTATTCAGGAGGTTGACCTCGGATCACAGTGCTAGTAGAACCCAGGCAACCAAAGGTTTGGGGCTGATTTTAGCTCCGACAGATGATATCGAGGTGACCATGGAGAATCACACTCACTGGTTGACTCAGTATATCACACAGTTTACGCACTTCGCATTGATAAAGCCGCTTCTCATTCAGTTTTTGCGGCAAGCGATACAGATCGAGACGAATCCTTCGAGAGTTTCCAGTTACATTGACTTTTTATCATTGCAAGACTGTCTGGAATCATTTGCAGAGTTGAATGAACTCATAACTGATCTATCTTCGGTCATAATTGAAAGGCACAGTGTAGCATCTTATGTTCTACCAGGAGAGGACAGCTGCACATTGAAAAACTTGTTGCAGCTTTTTTATTTATACACTGTAAAGGCCAAGGAAAACTGTGAGGAGTCCTACAATATCCAGCAAAGCTACAACAACGAGTATGTCATTGTTTCTTGGGTTACTGGAGAGCAATGTGCCATGCAACCCCTTATCATACATGCTACCATAGTACTTTTGACGTACGGTCCTCTAGATGACTGTGAGTCTTTCAGTTTGTTGTTGAATCTTTGGTTTCCCAAAAATATGGAACATCCCAGAGCATACTCTCCAGAGACTTCAGAAACTACTTCTTATTTACCAGACTGGATGAAACTGAGGATGATAAGATCGAACGTTTCTCGATTAGTAGATGCAGCCATTGAAAAACTGGAACCTCCAAAACTCGTTCTGTTCATACAGTCCTTTGGTATCCCTACGAATTCTATAAGTAAACTGTTGCATACCCTGGACAAGGCAACCATTTTGGACCTCAAACTCGTAGTGGACTCTGTTCTCGACAAAACTTACATGATTCAGTTGGTAGAGGTGCAGAACAAAAGGGGTGCTTCAGGGGGAGAGACTTTCGTGAAAGCGATAGAACTGCAGATGCCGCACATGGTGGATTCTGATATCAAGGTTGACATTGAAACCAAAAAACATTTGCCTGTTTTGTTGAAAAAGCCGAAGGTGTGCCTGAATGACACTGACATCGTGCAGGGGCTGAATGATTTGTTCAATCCACATTATACGGCTGATAGGAATGCTATAATTTTGTCTTTGATCAAGGTAAGATTGTATACATTTTGTATAAATTGATATATTATATACTTATCTCTAATATCACATTGAAAATATGGAGAGTACAGGGTTGCTATCTGACGTGTAATAAAATCGCCTGGCAAGTAATACCAGGAACAACATATTTGTCGGCGTAGCCGGTAATTTTGCACTTCATCATCATCATGCGATGGGTTTTTGTCCAAAAATGTTTTTTTACTTACGTATTTTTGTCTGACAAACACGAATTTGATAATGAAAATGTGAACAAACCATTATTTATTGAGATATTTCACTATAAAGTTACGAATTTCATCATCTTTTCCGCCTGTCTTTTGAATCGCATTTAGAATAATTTGTCCTTCTATTTCAAGTTTCAACTTGAAATATGATTTTCTTGTGGTTTATCAATTTTTAGTGAAAAGAAAGGAACAATATCATTTAAAATAATGGCGTGTGTAACGTCAATCAAAAGCAATCTGTCGTATTTGGATTGATTATTGATTGAATGTCCCTCATCCTTATAATTGTTTACTAAATATGAAAAACTCGCCATAAAAACCATATTTCGTGTTGAATTTTCTTTTTAAAAATGTGTCATTGAAGTACATCATAAGTAAATAAAGTGTACAATGACAGGGGGAAAAACAATAAGGCGAAATTTCGAACTTTTTCTTGAAATATCTCGATAAATAGTAGTTTGTTCACATTTTCATTATCGAATTCGTGTTTTTCAGGCAAAAAGACATAGGGACTAATGAAAAATTCTCAAAAAAAAAAACACATCACATGATAAGTGCAAAATTACCGCGCAGCCTATTCTCCGAATAATTTAAAATTATATTCATATACGAATCAAAAAATTTGGAATACTTCAGAATATACTGTCAACAGGTAAACTTAATGAACTGATAGTTTTTTGTTTGTTATACCGGGTGTCGCATTTAAAGGCGATCCAACTTTACTATAACTTAACATTATAGGGATTCCCTTTCGTGTTCTCCAAGTCAAAAAAGAAGAGATTTTCGAAAATAATGTTTTGGGAATTGTTTCTTAAGTGAGAGTTACTAGCTGTGTGCACGTGTAGATATACAAATACTTGTATTATTGTATTTCATGCAAAATAATTTATTCAATTTTTTGTAGCAGAGAGCTTTGGAATATGCAGTCACCATCATTACATCAATGCGTACCTTTCTGTTTCTTATTCCTCCGCCTATAATCTGAGTCGATCATAACAATTTTTTTAATATGGTCTATTTAACTTTACACCATCGGCCACTTGTTTGATAGTATCTTGGATAGGTCTACACTAATTTTTCAGGTCATGGAAAAATGAGGAGTACTGTCTAAACAGGTTTTTCTTCAGAATCCTATCAATTGATATGCAACTATCAATACCTTGAAAATACATTAACATTTTACAGTTAACGTACCGACCGTTTCATAAAAATATGTTTATATTGATCTTATTAATCAACTGAACTAACGGTTTGAATAATTTATTCAGTTTTGGCTGTTATATGCCGGTATCTGACACCGACGTTAACTCACTTGTTGTATAAATTCATAGTAATACTGTGAAACAATTGTGGAATAAATAAATCACAGCAATTATCATGGTAGAAACATCATTCGAATGAGTTTTCCCGACGTTTTCATTTGAAATTTTCCAGTGGGTGGGTGGTGGGTGGTATATGATACATACTAATAACTTTAATACATTTTATACTTGAGTTGTACAAGTCATTCAGAAAAAAATGCAGGTCACGAGTAGAGGAGAAAAAAGTAAATTTATTTCACGAAGATAAACATTTTCAAATGCCTAAGAAGATGATGGAATATCTTCATACAAGCATAAAAAGCATAATTTTCATGTCATGTCATGTCATAGATCATGCGATTCTTACCAAATTCGGAATGGTTATGTATCGGCTTTCATAATTATATTCGTGTCGTCTGCATAATTTATCAAAAGATTTTCCGGAGGAATATATATATAATTCTTCATCTCTTGGGGCGCACGAAAGGAAATTCCTATTATGTTCGAAAAACATCGTGCGTATCTAGGGATGATAGGGAGAGGAGGTATATTGGATTTTTTTTTCAACTTTTGGAGGTTATCAGTACTTGGGAATACTTCCATTGGCAAAAAAAATCCAAAGCTTTGCCGTTTTATAAACGAACCAGTTTTTGTAAAGTGTTGTTCGACATATTTCAAGGTTGACAACGAAAGGATGTGCTGACTGGTAAGAAATGTCGTTGATGAAAATATCAGAAGCAATGAAACCAAGGTGCTCTCTTATGTCACTTCTACTGTCACATCCATGACCTCCTAACTAAAAAATAATGTCGAAGTATGTCAGGCTTGAATTTTGCTTTAGGCCAAGTGATGTAATTTGAAAATACCATTCGTCAAACCGAAACTAAAATGAGCATTGAGCAGCAAGTGCCTTTTTTGAAAATGTTCCTAATAAAATAATGATAATTTAATCTTATTGTCATTATTATTTTGGCTTAGATGTTTCACAGTTGAAAATTTGATTTGTTTTGTTGTTTTCAGGGTGTTACTTTAAAGAAGAATGTAGCGGACCTGGTATTCAATTTCATAAAATCTATCCCAGTGAATTTCACCCTACCTATTGTACTGAAGTACAACTCTATATCGACACTTTTTCACCTGATTTTTACTGCTAGGACTTCTACTCAAGATAAAATATCCTTCGCCTCTCAATTTTTAGAGTTGATCCCCAACAAAAAGTCCTGCACCTCAGTGGTTCTACGACAATATCTGAACAGCTGTGGTCAATTGAAAGTGACTCCTAAAATGGAAGTTGACGAAGAAATAGCAATGAAAAGTGAAACATTAGATGGTCGTCCTGACGATTTGGGGGAAAAACTAGGTAAAATGTTATTGGACGAAGGTTCTAAAGCAGAAAAAAGTGGATTGCTTGTCGATTGGTTGTCCGCTGTCGAATTAGAAATTGCCAATTCAGATAAACTCAAATTACAGGTTAGATACTATTTTCTCAGCACTGTCATAAAACCAAATTCAAACTATATTATTTTCAGATGGATCTTTTATTCTCCAAACAAAAACTGCTATTCAGACCATTATTGATGTCTTTAGTTTTACAAAGGGCCAGTTGGAAAATATTGCATGGTATCATGACATATCTTTTAAGAGGAGACGTCCTTTCACATATATGTCCTATCTCAGCATTAGATTTCTTGACGGCCCTGACGAAAAGTCCCAAACTTTGGCAAGGTCGAGATAAAGCAATACCAAAGCATTACCATTTCGAGGACATACTGCAGTTGAATCGTGAGCAAGTGAGTCATACAAGGTGTCAGGGTTTCAGTGAGTGATTCATTATACCAATACCAACAATACATTTTCTTGGTCGGCACATTCCGAGTTGACTTTTCCCATGGCGGCGACATCGTTTTTGTTATCCATTCCCAGGGCCGTCTTTAACCTATTGGATGCCCTGGGCACTTCAGGATAATGGGGCCCTATATGACGTTGACAGAGCACTATTTTGTTTTCATATAAAAAAATAGATAAGCAAAGTTCTTGATTTATTTTTATTTTTTTTACAGACAAATTAAAGGAATATATGATATACAGGGTGTCCCAGAATAACGTTCGTATACTCCGGGAGGTAATTCTGCACAATACATGTAGATAAGGAAAAAAATTCCTATCAACATGTGTCCTAAAATGCTTCCTAAGACTGGTAGAGCCCTTTGAAGGTAGGCTCTTGAATGCAATTTTCTTCAATTATCTTTGTAACCATTGATCCCAGAATCATGAAATTCGAGGGTGATTCCATCTTACAAATCGTTTCGTGGTAGGTGCGAAACTCGTAACAGATGCTTTAAAAATGCCCCAAGTATTTTTGTTTCAAGATCTTATTTCTGCTAACAGACTATGATTCTTCTAACACTTTCACATGAAAAAGGTATTCTTCTTAGAATGCCGTAAAATGAACCGTTTCAGAAAAAATGGTCATTTTTCATTTTGATATTCAAAAAAATTCTCTTAGTGAAAAAGTTTGTAAAATTTAGTGAGTTTCCATTGCGGATATTTTATCAACAAATCACATCACGATTAACTCTAATTAAACAACATTAACTGAAAATGTAAAGTTTCGATTGTCAAGTGTCATTGTGCATTCTTTTGGAAATAAAATTAAAAATTACACTTTTCTCGAAAATGGTTCGTTTTACAACATTCTAACAAGAATACCTTATTCATGTAAAAGCGTTCGAAAAAATATATTATGATAGTAGAAATTAGATAAATCTTGAAACAAAAAAACTTGGGGCATTTTTAAAGCATCGGTTACAAGTTTCGCGACTCCATGTATATTAAATCATGTTTTCCGTATCACGAAACGATTTATAAGATTGACTAAGGTACCAAATATCGTGATTCTAGAATCAATAAAATAACAAAGATAATTGATTAAAAGATCATTTAGGAATCGTTTTCGGACACATGTTGATAGGAAGGTTTTTCATCTTCATGTGCAGAATTACTTCTCAGAGTATATGAACGTTATTCTGGGTACTCTGTATAATCCACAAATTGCAAGTGAAATGTTTATTGAAGAGGTATCCTTCTAGATTTGAGATGGGCAAAATCATAAATTATTTCTTCAAAATCTTTGTTTTTGAGCAACATTATCACATCCTATGGATATCAGATACAAACTGGTTAATCTCTTGAAGTATTTCAGTTCTCAATACTTTTTTAATTCTTTTCAATTTACTTACTGCTGTTTGTTACAATCATGCTTAAAAAGATTCTCAATGCGATCTCCAAATTTGAAAATATGTCTACAATTCATTCTTCTACAAAGGGAAGATACATTTCCAATATACTGTTACCTTCTTTATTTTCACTATCAACTATATATTTCAAACATAACGTGTTATGATAACAATTAGTGCAACCCGACACTCAAAAATTTTGACGGTGGTGCTGTTAGGTACAGTGCTCGACAAAAATGTTTTGAGAATAAATGTGATGAGAGGAATTGTCGGCCCTTCGGGGCCCCCTGAAGATGGGGGCACGGGCCTCGTGTGCCCTTATGGTAAATACGGTGTTGTCCATTCCGTCGATAACAGAGTCCGAACATTTCAAACATTTTAGCTGGGCCAAGAACACTCAAAATAATTTGTATACATTAAAACATGTCATTTCCATAGCAACACTGTGACTTCGTTAATTAAATTGAAGTGCTGTTTATTTTGAAGCAATAATATATACTTTTGTAATTATTATCTAGTTCTATAATTTCAACTATTGACGAAAAATGTGTGCACCATCGCCGCGAACCTTATTAGCTACCTCAAGATTATCTTACTTCGCCTTTGTGATAACTTTCCGTTCGACAGGCGACACGCTAAAAAGTTATTTCGTGGCCTAGGCATACACATAACAATTTCCGCTACTTACATGAGAAATCACCATTATTCAGGGGATTTCGCCGAAGAAAAGCGACATGTTTATAACCAAGGTAAACAATGATAAAAAAATACCCAGAAACATAATCAAAAATCCATCTATCACAATGGAATGATACAATGAAATTCACTACCAAGTAACTTGAAGCTTATTAATAAAATTGAGAAATTTCAAAAGGACTCCTGTGATATCGATATCTCATCTCATTTTTATAGCTTTTCTTGTACAATTACTATAGTTTTCCATTGGGTACCTAACAGCTGAGTCAATTGAGAATCATTTTCATTGAACTTAAAAAAACATGATTTCTGCTTGAGTATGAGTCTTATTTTATATTACTGTCTTCTCTATTTTGTCAAATATTTTTATACAGTGTGACCCATTTAAAATGGAACCACCCCTGTATCTTACGTAATCGTTGGATAGGGATCCTGAAATTTGCTGGAGCGAGTAATATACCAAAAATGCACTCTATGACCAAGTGGGGTCATCTTCAGTGATATACACTGCTCGCCAACAGCCATGAAACTACCCCAATTTCCGGAAAGTGGTATTAGGAGTCAAAATAGGTCGAAAATCACTTCAGATTTGGAATCAGGACGCCCAATTTACTAACTATTCAAATTTTTCCTGGAAAATTTTCAGTTCGGAAAAATGAAATTTTGTCGCATTTTTTATGGAAGCACCTCCGTATCTCACGTAATTGACTTTATCTTTGGACTTTCTCTTCCTCCGGCAAATTTCAGAACCCTACCTCAATAATTACGTGAGATACGGGGGTGCTTCCATGAGAAGTGAGACAAATTTTAATTTTACTGAACTGAAAATCTTCTAGGAAAACTTTGAATAGTTAGTAACTTGGGCGTCCTGATTCCAAATCCGACGTGATTTTCGACCTATTTTGACTCCTAATATCATTTTCCGGAAATTGGGGTGGTTTCATGACTGTTGGCGAGCAGTGTATATCACTGAAGAAGACCCACCCCACTTGGTCATAGAGTGCATTTTTGGTATATCTCTCGCTTCAGCAAATTTCAGGATCCTTACCCAACGATTACGTAAGATACAGGGGTGGTTCCATTTTAAATGGGTCACACTGTATATTCACCATGTTCCCTGCTATAAACAAATGTTGTTTCTTGAGAATAATAAAGTTGATTGACTGATTATTGATCCCCTTGAAAATCAAATAAATTATCTCTAAGTTGTAAGATTTTTTTGAATGTTCACCATCAAAATTTCACATTTTCCACTAGACCTTGGTTTTATGAAAAAGTGATACTCTTAGACTGGAAATACTGTGACCTGAATAACAGTTTCATCAAAACCTGGTGATTAATACAAATTTCTGGAACACTATCTGACTTTTTCAATTCATTGACCTATAAATACCTTATACCTTTGAGGCTTCGACATATTTTTGCAGAGGAGGAACTGAAGTTTCTAGTTCAGTGCTTTATAGTTCAGGCAAATTATTCACACTCTCTCCTAATGAGACCACCTTCAAATGGGAGATTATCACCTTGGAAATTGGCATGTGCATGTATATCATGGTTAAAAACTGTACTCGATTTATAGCACGTACTATCGAGTCTCCAACGACATTTTTTTCAGGCTTTGGTGATGATTAATTTCATCGTAGAAGAAGGGAAAACAGACGAGAACAATTGGAAAACGAAAATGGAGACACGTTTACAACTACTCCTCAAATGTCTGGGACAGAATGCTAGTCCTATTATGAAAACTTTGTTGCAACAATCTGATAATGACATCTATCAGAGAGAATTATTGTTGATGATTTACATGTCTCTGCCTTACACTGGACAAGATGATATCAAAATAAAACCCGACATGTGCCTAGATATATGCAAAAAAAATTGTCCAAGTACTATTGACGAAATTGCTCACTGCCTGTTGAGTGCTTTGGCAGCTACTCCTCGTAACAAAGACTGGACGAAGAAGAGTCAAGATTTGGAACTATGTGCAAGAAAGCTAGCAGCTACTCATCCAGTGTTGGTGTTAAGACAGCTCCCTATGCTGGCAGGGTGTCTCAAAGGGAGAGCACAATATGATTGGGGTGTTCTCAAAAGCAGGGGGCACTTCATGTTGTTTGGGCAGATTTTGGGGCTGATGGAACTCCTGCAGCCATACGTTTATGAGCAAACCGCGATTTTGTCGGAATTATTGGATTCTTATTTTTTGTTGATGCAATTTCACGGTCATAACAAGGATTTGGGGGTGCTCGTATCTAGAATTGTGCATTTCGTTCAGAACTGGATGGTGAAAGATGTCAAAGGGGCTTCAAAGTATCTGCAACAGCATGGTGGAATATTGAAGTGAGTGAGATTTTTACCACTATGTGTTGGATTTGCGCGATCTAAATTGTTTTACTACATGGAAACGAATTTTACCATTAACACTAACAAAACTGGTATAAAACTTTTTGTTTAATAAAATATTGAGAGCTGAGAAACCGAGAGCGAAGCAGAACGTCAAAATTAATATTGCATCCGGTCAGAAAATCATGTTTCTCTGAAATCGTTCAAGAATGCCTACTTTCTAGAAGCAACTTCAAACCTCAGAAGACGCTATAATCTAGTCCTTTGGTCCGTTGCTAAGCAATGAACTTTCCCGAACCGAAAACGATCCGGGAAACATTTTCGGTTTTCACCGTATTTTCATTTTAGACAGTTGAATATTGATTTATTTGACCCAACAGGAGAAAGCCATGATATTATAGTTATTAATCTGTGACTTTTTCGAGCAACCAGCTCGTTAAAATATCTCTTATACTCCATAACAAACCTTCATGTAAATGTTGGCTAAGCTAGAGACTTGGCAATGCTGTGCTAAACGCTGAGAACCGAAAAGACAACTCCCACAATCCTGTATTGTCATCTTCATCCCACCAAATCTCCTCTAGTGTGAATTAATATAATTGTTATTAACACAAAATCATCATTATGCAATAAGACACAACATATAAGAGGGAAAATTACAAGACAATGGATTTCTTATAGCTAATAAAAATAAGGTTATTACTAATACATTATTGAGAATTTATGCATTATTAAGTAAATATTATTTCTGAAGTTCCCATTCGTATTTCAACATATGGCAACTGTGCTATGGTCTGCCCTATACTTACGAAATCGTGACGTCAGCTTTTATTTGCCACAAATTTCAGAATGTTGAGAATTGAAAATTGGTTGATCCACTCCAAAATTATGACGGTTCGAAAATCATAGAAGTTTCTGCTTGACTCACTTTATTTAAGGAATAAAAATATAGTCCACTCGCCTATTCTCGATCATTTGATATTTTTAGCGAATAAATTCTTGATCAATCGATTTTCAATCGAATGAAGCTTAATTGAATAATTTGAATCAGATTTCTGTCGGCCCTCCTTACTAGAAATGTGAATATTCTTATAGTGGAAAACTTGTCTCCTTGATAACCATGAAGTGAAAAATCTCAAAAATCTACACTAATAAATTGATTGAAATACTTATATCCCTTTTAGTGAAATCCAGTTCAACCAACCAGGAGTCAGACCGCTACTATCCAGCGTATCTCTTCCAATGAGCGACCAATCATCATCCTCTGAGGTTCTCGTGGGTACCATTACCCCACCGGTTCCCGAACAATATCCCCAACACTGGGGCCAAGTGAGGGCCGCCCTCCAGTCGACAGACAACCTTGCAGCACTGCAAGAGTTAGACCATATCACCAACAGGTAGAGTTAAGACGATTGAAATTTTCAAGTTATTGGATCTTTCTTTTATTTGATTCAGACCAGGGGAGAGTTCCTCTTATCCTGATATCTATCATGAAACAAAAAAAAAAACAAAATGAAAACGGTATTGAAGTTTGATGCGAACAGCCCTTCTGCCCCAAATAAGTTTCAGAATTAGGTACATTCTTAGAATTGAAAAAGATCGAACGGAACAAACAAATATCAAAAACTTGATAATAGTAAATTTGGTCATAATGTTGATATTTTCTCTATTTTATGGACAATCTCGGTCTTTTGAATTTTGATTGATCACCTGGATCATAATCAACTGCATTTCAAAGAAGCTGATTCTCATGAACCTCAGCTTTTTCGAAAGTCTTGATGTTCGTTCTCTGATGACGGACACAATTGAAGGGAGTTTCCCTGGAATCTGGTTATTCCGAACATACCAAGGAGATCCTGTCACCATTCTCGCGATTTTGTTCTGTAATGTTTGTAATCTGGTGATATGAGATTTTGCTGTGTGGTCCCAGACTACCGAGGCATACAGTAAAATTGGCCTGATAGCCATGATGTAAATATTCAATTTTTGTCTCAAACCCAATTTACTTCGTCTGTTTAGACATGGATACAGGGCTCCAATGACTCGTTTAGCTTTTGAAACTTGCTGTTCAATGTGCTGGGCCCTAAGTATTTAACTTGTGAAGACCACTCTAACTCATGACCATCCAGGACTATTCTGGTTCTGGGAGGCCTCCGCTCCCTTCCGAGTGCGACCAATTGTGTTTTTGCAGAATTCAATTTGATCTTCCATCTTAGGAAGTATATACTCTTGAAGAGAATTCAGCGCGAGGTTCATAGCTTCTTGATCGAAATTTGTCGAATATGCAAGAACTGCCGTATCATCAGCAAAAAGCGACATCTTGCACATCACTGGTCTCGGCAAATCGCTAGTCCATAAACTGTACAATAGCGGCGATAAAACTGCACCCTGAGGAACACCAGCTTCGATGGGCATGTTACCAGATCGTTGATCATCAAGTTTCACTTGATAAATGTCATTTTTCAGAAATGAACACATCAATTGAATCAAATCGTCAGGAAAGCCCATATCGATCATTTTGTACACGATACCATTATGCCACACCTTGTCAAATGCTTTCGCTATGTCAAGGAGAGCAAGATGGGTCTTTTGTCTATCATTTTTCAACGATATTGTGTTCTCAATGAGTCTCAAGACTTGTAGTTCAGTTGAGTGGCCAGTTCTGAAACCGAACTGCTCATCTGGTATCAGCTCGTTGTCGTCGATAAATTCCTGTAACCTCTGTTTAATCACTCACTCAGTTATCTTAGATGGAGAGCACAGGAGACTGATAGGACGATAGCTCTGAAAGAGCATTATCCTGGCCCTGCTTCTTAAGCATCACTACTTCGGCATGTTTCCATCTTTGAGGGCAATATAATAGTTTCAATATGGCGTTGATGATTTTACATAAGTAAGTGATGAAATTACCTGGAATCCAGTTCTGAAACCGAACTGCTCATCTGGTATCAGCTCGTTGTCGTCGATAAATTCCTATAACCTCTGTTTAATCACTCACTCAGTTATCTTAGATGGAGAGCACAGGAGACTGATAAGACGATAGCTCTGAAAGAGCATTATTCTGGCCCTGCTTCTTAAGCATCACTACTTCGGCATGTTTCCATCTTTGAGGGCAATATAATAGTTTCAATATGGCTTTGATGATTTTACATAAGTAAGTGATGAAATTACCTGGAATCCATTTCAATATTCTGTTTGTAATTCCATCATTACCTGGAGCTTTCCTGAGTTGTTTTGCTTTGATATAGCCGATTGTTTCATCCGTAGAGGCGGGCCTTATTCCTTAATTAATATATCACTGTTATATCGCAGTGAACTCATCGCAGCGACGTTGCATGGATGAAACTGAAGTAGGACAAATAACATCTCTCTGTCATCGCAGCGACGTCTATGCGACATAGAATGTGATAACGCAGGTCACAATTGTTGCATCGCTGTTATATCTCTGTGATGTAACTGTGTTTGCTGGGATCCTTCCAAAACAGAATTGAATAATGTCGTATTAAGATTCAGAACTAATTAAAGTTTTGTAAGATTTTTTTCAACGCCTATGGATGTGACGTGACAGCAATGTCATGTCAGGGACGCCAATACACAGAACCAAAGTCACTAGATCATTAAAAGAGAAAGGAGCTATGATCTGTCCCTACCGTAATAAGATGACAAATATGTCAATTTAAATCAAGGGACCCTAGTCTTCCCTATTCAAAAACTTTGAAGATTGATCTGTAGGGTAGTAGGTTGACAGCTCCTTGAAAATTTAGATGTAAAAAAAATTATTTTCAAAAATTAAATTCGACCTCAAAGGATTTTTTAAAATATATTCTTGTGATGGAGATACTGATTTAATTCCATCAAAGGTTTCCACACTGTATTGAATGAACATTTCAAGTGAAATTCCATTTCATAACTACAGTGAAATTTTCCCAATCCTACCAACAGGAGACCGCAATGGCTGCAAGACGTGTCACAGCACTTGTGCAACTCCATAAGTTCATCGAACAGCTCGGTGAGATCTTTGGCCCTATTGTTGATTGTGAGGTGGCTGAAACACGATCCCAAAGCTGCGAACGAAGCCCTTCCAGCCGTTTTGGCGTGTTTGGACAGCAATAACGGAGATATAGTCAGTAGCGTGTTGGATAGACTGTCTGATTTAGTGGCTGTTATGCAAGAGTACGCCAAGGTTATATTAACGAGGGTGTTTCAGTTGGGAATGAAATCGACCATGAACACTACTAGTAATATTACTAAGACGGTGAATTTGTTGAGCTTACAGTATGGGTATTGAATGATAAATATTGTAAATATATGTAGGAGTCAAGTTTTACGCATATGTTTTTTTATACTTTCTGTTGAATTTTGTATTATTTCAAGACTAGACTATGATTTCCTCAGTAAACACATAATCAATTTTCTATTAAATGAAAAGTTATTCGAACTTTATCTCAACTTTTTTTTTTAAATACAGGGTGTCCGGAAAGGTCATGTCGTGAATGATAGCTGTGATAAAGTGAGCAAAAATAATGTCAGTACTTCATATAAAAAAATGTCTATTGCATTTCGTTACTGACATTAAAAGTTTGAATAAAAATAGTTTTTTCTGTGACGGGAAAAAAGTTTGGCATTTCATCTCTGTTGGCAGGTTATAAAATGTCACTTTTCATAAATTACTTTTTTCCCGTGGGAAAAAAGTGAGTACTTCTTTCCCGGATATATATCACATATATATACTTTGTTAATGGCTTTTGTTGTGCTATAGTTCCGAAAAATGAGTCAATAATTCCGTCTCCGAGAAAGAACTGCAAGTCCTTTTATCTTCCATTCGACTTCGCGGTTTCGTATATTACTAAACAACTACTGAATTCGCAATTTTTTGAAATCAAATCACAGAATTGAACTGACAGAAGTGACATCAGATATTTGATTACTTCAGAAGAATGATGAAGATGCCTATAAAACGCAGGTGTCCCTACTGTTAAAAACTTGAAATTTCACGTCGATAATTTTCAGATTTCGAAATAATGTAATATCTTCTCAATATTGATTCGACCTTCCTTCTGTCACAGAAAAAAATAGTGTATTATACACGGGAAAAATATTAGATTTTAGCTCACGGTTTTTTGTCCCCCTCCGCTACGCGTCGGGAGACAACACAACCTGGAGCTAAAATCTACTACTTTTTTCCCTTGTATAATAAATAACTATATTTTTGTATCTTTGGTGGTCGAGAACTGATTATTTCAACGAGACGCAGCCGAGTTGAAAAATTATTCGAGATGACCAAAGTACTTCGCGCACAGGCTTAATAGGCCTCTCTCCCTATCCTCCCTAGCACGATGTTCCACGAACATTATAGGAATTTCCTTTCGTGCGGTCCAAGAGATAAAAAAAATATTGTTAAACATTCAGAAATAAATGATTTCTTGGATGTTTGCTCGATATGGAGGACCATAAAGTTAAAATATAAAGATCTCATATAGTTCACATACAATATGCGTTTCGCGCACTGCTTCGCACATATGGTGTCGTGGTTACGTAGAAAACTGAAAATAAGTGTCTTTTCCCAATTCGTTATCAATGCGCGAACCTTGTCATTTTTTGACGTTTGTAGAAACAATATACTTCAAGAATAACTTTCGAACCGTTGCCATGGTATCAATGATATTCGGGGAACTGAATTAACTGATACTAATGCTCCTTTCGATATGTAAACGGCTGTTCAGTGATTATGTCTTAAATAGGATGAGCCGAATTTTTTTCGTTTAATGGCGGCATTTTTGACAGAGTTGACAAATTTGACATTTTGCTTTCACTGTTTGATTCCTTCATCTTTTTGCTACAAAAATACATCCCCAACGTTTCAGAGTTGATAAATACTCTATTTATTCAATTACATCATGGTAGTTGCAGTCATTATCATAATTGATATCCAATTACTTTGATAGTATTCAATACTTTGGTAACACCATAAATGAGTTTAGTAATGATGAGTATGCATATGTATGGACTTGCAGAAACTTTTAGCGTCAATAACTCTATAACGAAGTGCGATAGACATTTCTTCAATATGAAGTACTAACATTATTCTGGCTCATTTTATCAGCCCTATCATTTACGACATGACCTCTCCGGACACCCTGCATATTACTTTTAGAGAAAAGTGTGATATTTTCAGTTCTCTCAATATCTGTTTCTCCAATTCATTCTCAAATACCTTCATTATAAATTAACATTCATAATTTTCTTTTGGAATGTATAGTGCAAATGAAAGGAGTAAATTCATTTTCAGCCAAACTGCCTATTTCCGAGAATGGTCCTGGAACAGGTCGATTTTCATTATCAATTTCCCACATTTATAAGTGAACATTTAAAATACAGGGTTATCCACGTTTGACTTCTGACGTCCGCGAAATGTTTTTCAAATGGAACACATATAGGATTTAAGTAGAATAAAGTTAATAAATCCCTTATTTTATTGTATGGAACACAACCTAATATAGGTATTGTCTCGAAAAGTGAAGCAGAGGCTTCTAAATCGAATATTTTGTGTTATATTCTCAATTATTTTTATATCTGTGAATTTTTGTATCTGTGAATAACATGCAGATTATTGAAACGAAGATTTTGTTTAGAGGTTGTTCCATCCACCTTCACTAAATTCAAATTCTTGCGAGGATCCATCCGATTCGGAAATATGTGATTGAGTATTATTAGTTATACATTCAATTTTTGTTTTGTCCTTTGCAATTTGATTGTCTGAAAACGACATAATCAAATAGTGGGAATAATAAATGAAGAAACAGTATCTGTACTTTGTATTTTTATATGGCCAATAAAGATTACTTACTTACTATTAACCTAGCTGATGAGTATCTCGAGATTTCAGATTTTGTTCACCAGGGAAATGATTTGGTCTACCCTTCACATTTATTTTCCAGATATTTCAACCGTCCATACTCTCCTAGACCAAAATTAATACCACGAACTTGTTTGTGTTCGTGCGGTTTGATTTGATTCAAACCTTTGGTCGAATCTCCAATCCATTTGGTTCATTTCCCTACTTTTATGAATGTATCTTGGAAACTTGAAATGATAACCTTTTATGTACCTATTCCAGAAGTATATTCACATCCGTTGATTTCACATTTATATACGGGCTTTCCTGTTTTTCCTTCGTCCATCTGACGTTGTGATGACATGCAAACTACTGAAAAACATGTCTAACTTTCAATCTGAGCCAGGAGTTAGGAATGTTTTCCCGTAGTTTTCATGTCATCGTAACGTATGGCCGCGAATATAAATTTCATTAAAAATTCGAAACTTTGAATTTTAATTTCAATGACATTTCCTTGACATGACAACACTGAACAATTTGACAGCACTTTGGCATTTCGTGAAATAACAAAATAATAACAATCGTAAATAATGCCTAGCCAATATAGAAACAAAATAATGATATCAAAAATGCCAAAATCAGCGCTCAGCGTAAAGTGGCCTATTTGAGATCTATCATATTTTATTATTTTTTATTCATATAATGATGAAACCATTGAAACTATTCAAATATGCATTTTCTCTCTTATTCAAAAACTCAAAAGGGCCAAAAATTGAAAATTATTATTCACTGGCATGTATTTTTTTGCCCGCACATCTAACTAGGTAATTCCTAGGTCTCCATGTAGGTATGTAGGCAGTATCAACTAAATAGATCGACTAAACTAAAATCACTGGATATCTGAAATATTTCCTTCGTCAAACAGCTGTTTTGTCTAATAGACGGAGAGCCAGAGCCAAAAAGATTATCTGAATTTACTAAGCCTTGTATTTTCACAGTTTATTACAGTGGTTTTGTACACAAACATACTGCGGTCAGTCAAGCGACACTGAGAACAGGTGCCCCTGGTATACTATCGAAGTTGTCGTTCCTACCGAGGTAATGCAATGAATTTACTAAGGCTAAAAATCATTATACACATTGTATATTGCATATGAATGAAAGTTATGAAAGCCAGTCAGCTGACTGTAGGGAAGGGAGCTGGTCAGTCAGCCCCAATGTATGCAAAAAATGAATGAATTGCAATTCATTTACTACACTTCAGAATTTTTGTGAGGATATTTGTTGTTATATCAATCATGAAAAAAATGGTTAGTTATCGATTCTGCGGGACAACGCCCGTCAGTCAGCAAAAAAAATAAATACACATTTCGCGCGCGCGATCGCGCAGGCGGCGGCTCGCTCTTTTCTTCATGATTATTCAACGAAATCGATTGATTAGGCCATTCATTGATTATAATTCAATAAATAATATTGAATAACATTCAGTATATTACGCATAATATTGCAATGAGTTGTAGTGGAAATGGAAAAAAAAATTGCACAGAAATTATTTATTATGTAGTTTTTGTCATCATCATTTTCATATTGGAAGAAAGTAGTTGATTTTTTTATAGCCACTATGATTTGAAAATTGGCGACGTTATGCATAAGATGATTTCACCATTCACTCAAAAATGGAACACTGATCGAAAAATATGCATACAAAAAAGTTTGAGCAATATTTAATGTAGTCCCATCTTGTTTTATACACTCCTGAATGGAACCTTGGTATGATTTTATGTTCACCGCATTGGGTATGAAAAGTTAGTTCTTGTACCAAATTGCATCATTTTATCACGTGGCGTTCCGGAAATATTCAAGAAATATCATCTTCAGGAGCCCTCTTTCAGGGGGACGTAGCTCCTTTAGGAGACATTCCTTGACTCATGTTCATTGAAACTTTTCTTCCCACTTTTTGTTGGTTAGTTTGGCAGGCTAATTCCCGCGGACACCCTGTATAATTTTTGTAGGCTTGATATGGCCTTCCTATGCTTTCGTTCTTTTTAGAGTTATTTTCTGACTTAAATGGAGATCATTATTACATTTATTACACGACCTGTTCAATCAACGAACACTAAAAAAGGCTGAATAGAGGAAAAAAATCGTGTAGTCGCAAATTTTTGTATAGTGGTAAAGGGAAGTGTCATTCACAGAGAAAAAACTTCAATAATGGTTATTAAACATTTAATAGTCACAGTTAAAAACTTGAATACTATATGGGACAGATATACAGTATGATAGTGGTAGATAAAATATTTTACCTGAATTGGTATACCTGCAACAGACACTCAATTATATACTTCATTGATCGTTAATGAATGAATAGATTTGAAATCAACTCAGGATTATTGAAGTGTTGAATAACATTGATTAGACAGTTTAATTACCATTGAACATTAGGTAATTCCCTTTGAAACATTGCTATATTATCTTACAGACTTCTTCACCT